GGCCGCTCACAGGCTTTTAAGACCCCAGACACTACTCAGCAAGGTAGAACGTAGAGCATTGTCTTTATAAGCTGTGTCATGCCAATTGAGCTAGATGTTCCCCGAGACCATGGTCCCCAGAGCTCCACAGGGTTTTCTTGGCTGTAATCTTTACAGAAACAGGTCACCAGGCCTTCCTTCCACAGTGCCACTGATGGGATCAAATCAACAACCTTTAGATTAGTATGTGAGCCCAAACCGTTTGCACCACCTAGCAATGCCCAGCTTCCCTACATACTCCATACTGGTTCCTGTCTCTCAGCAATTACCCCTGCTGTTGCCTCTACCCAGAATGCCCTTCTCCATTCCTCTTCCACTGGATGATGCCACTTACCTTCTAAGACCCAACCCAGGAATTATCTTCCTCAGGAAGATGTCCTAATTTCTCCCCAGGCTGGGTTAGGACTTCTCCTTGGTGCCCCAGGCCACTGAGCCCAGAGAGGCAATGCTGGGACCCAGGTCCAGGCAGCCTGCTTACTGTGCTCTGAACTACAGCTTTGAATGGAAGGCATGATGCAGATCCCTAACTTTCTTTAAGTTTTTAATTTTAAACTTTTTATTATGAACACTTTCAAACACCCACAAAAGTAGCGTAGTGATCAGTAATGAACCCCATACACCGTTACTCCCTTTCATGAAACTCCCTCTTTCAAAGGTTTCTAAGACACCACCCTCTCTAGCCTCTCCCAGCTCTGTGGCAATTCCTCAGATGCCTTTGTGAATTCCCTTTTCTCCCACATAACCCAATGTCCCATCTTTCTGAAGTCTTCCTGGTTCCCCTGTTCTTGGGTGCTCTCCTTCTTCTTGCAAGAACTCGACAGACGGTACAGACCTCTTCAATGACCCTTATCTCACTAGCAGCATGGTATAAAGCAACTAGAAAATGGTTAAGAGCATTGGTTATGGAGTCGCATAGGAGACCTGGTGGCACAGTGGTTGAGCGCTAAGGTCAGCAGTTTGAACCCACCAGCCACTCACTCAAGGGAAAAGATGTGACAGTCTGCTTCCGTAAAGATTATAGCCTTGGAAACCCTATGGGGGTCACAGATCTGCACTGAATCACAGATATGCCACCTACTAGCTCTGTGACTTGTGCAGGTCACTTAATCTTTCAGTGCCTCAGCTTCCTTATCTGTAAAGTGAGGGTCAAATGAGATAATCCAATTAAGAAGTTGTCTAGGAGACTTATAGGAGGTTATGCATATAAATCATGCAATGAATGTTAGCTGTCTTTCTCCTCTGGTTGACCGAGAACTTCATGGAAGAAGGAATAAGTTCTAATTTTCTAAGCATTCCTAGTGTCCAAAATGGTGCTTGGCACAAAGTAGGCATTCAATAAATTCTTATGAACTAATAAAGCCTGAAAGAGCCTAGTGGGTGTGTGGGTAAAGAGAGGGTGGTTTTGCAAAAAATGGAGCTATGTTTAGTGGTAATGTATTGTAGAGATTGTTTGGGACTGGAGAGGTGTTCTGTTGTATGTTATTGGACGATTGTGTATTACAAGAAGTTGAGAACGAAGGGTTAAGCGACACATGGTCCTGGTGGATGGCAAATTGAATTGGAAGGTTGGGAGCTGGGCAGACTATATTGAGCTGGGGTCCCTGAAGCACTGGGCTATGCTCGTCCACTGGATCGCTACCTGATCCTCTTTGTCTGCAGTGTGCCCCAGGCTACAGTGGACAGAACTGCTCAAAGGAAACCGACGCATGTCAATCCCAGCCCTGTCACAACCAGGGGAGCTGCACCCCCAAACCTGGAGGCTTCCACTGCTCCTGCCCTCCCGGCTTTGTGGGCCTGCGCTGTGAGGGGGACGTGGACGAGTGTCTGGACCAGCCCTGCCACCCCACGGGCACTGCAGCCTGCCACCCTCTGGCCAATGCCTTCTACTGCCAGTGTCTGCCTGGACATACAGGTGTGGTCTGGGGCTGGGAGAAGTGGTGTGAAGGCATCTCTGAGGCACAGCTAAGCAAGTCATGGAAACCTAGATAATCCTCACCCCCAGGGAAGCCAAGTCATCTTGTCCATCCCCCTACCATCTTCCCCCACCCCAGAGAAGCCACCCCAGGATCCCCTTGCTTGCACATCTAGTGCTGGGCCAACTCCCAGGTATGAGCTAGAAGAGGCAGTGACTGAAGCAGTGTGTGAGGTCCAATCTCACCCCCACCTTTCCATCTGCCAGGCCAGTGGTGTGAAGTGGAGATAGACCCCTGCCAGAGCCAGCCCTGCTCCCATGGAGGGTCCTGTGAGGCCACAGCAGGACCACCCCCAGGTTTCACCTGCCACTGCCCCATGGTGAGTGACCACAAAGCTCCCTTCTCTGTTGCCCCAAACACTTATGTAATTGGAGAATACATAGACCGGAATCCTAGGGGAAGCCCAGGGGAGCTTTGGAGTAGGAATTATTGGAGAAAGCCACCCCAAGCTCACAGTAGTTAATGGTTCTAGAAGCAGGCAGGGGAAAAGGCAGGATCACGTAGTAGCATGAATGGAATTTTCCGGAATCACAGGCATTGCCTAAGGGAAGGCAAAGAGGTCCCCAAGGTCAAGCTAAGTGACCTTGAATAAGTTCTTTTAACTCCATGTTTGTGTGTGTGTGTGTGTATTTAATGGACCTCAGATGATTGGAATTGGGTTCATCTTAAAGCCTTAGTTCATAATACATTGACATCATTGGTTTACGCATGGCCTTTTATTTTCTTTATTGTTTTAACAATATAACACCCATGAACCTAAACTAAAAATTACAATATTAACAATAACTTAAATCTACTTAATGTGATCCTCCTCCAGGGAAAGACTGTGTGTGTGTGTGTGTGTGTGTGTGTGTGTGTGTGTGTGTGTGTGTGTGTGTG